AATTTTTATGTAGATAAATCCATCACTTTTCCTTTGTGGCTTTTGAATTTTATGGTACATATTCGACTTGCCTTTTGTACCCAAGGTTATCAAATCACCCATTGTTTCTTCTAGAACATTTTGATACATTTATTTTATTTTTTACAGGTAACTCACCCATCTGGAATTTTAGTGTGAGAATAGATGCTAGATAGAGTCTCTTAGCACTTGGCCCTGTGTCCCATGCCTCTCCTCCCGTGCCACAGGGGGTGGAAGGCTACCAAGGAAGTCATGCAGACTCAGAGGTAAGTAGGGTTCTGAGCAGATTAGATTCCACCAGTGACTTGCACTTGGTCACGGTCTGGGAGGCGAGAGGCCGAGGCCGTGCACCCCAGCTGTGCCAGTGAACAGGAGCTGGTTGTAGCGATCAGACTCCACGCTATAGCATCTGTCACCTGCCGCGTGGTTATGAGGCGGCGCTGGCGGTGGCGGTGGCACTACCTTCCTGTTCCCTGCATCACAGATGATGAGACTACCTTGAGTCTGAAAGCGTGGTGACCCGAGTTTCTGTCCCTACAGCTTTTTTCTGTGATTTTTGAGGGACCTAATTTTCTGTATGAAATCCCTTGCTGCTCGAAGTACCTGGAAAAATTTCTGTTCACACAGCGAACCCTGACTGACACGGTGTTTACCAGGGATCCTGCTTTATTTCTTTCTGGATGGCCAGTACACTGCCCCAAATTTTACTGGGTATCCTCTCTTTCCCCAGCTAATCTGAAACCCACCTTTACTGGAGACTAAATTTCTATTTGTATTTTGGTCTATTCATGGATTCTGTTTTATTGATTTTAGTTTATATTTCTTTTTCCCTGTCTACTTAAATTCATCTTATGTTTTAATATGTGATGGATATAATCTCTGCTCCACCCACAGTTAAATTAGTTATTTTTCAGAAATTTTCTGGCTATTACATTTTTCTTTTCTTTTTTTTTTTTTTAAAGATTTTATTTATTTATTTTTAGAGAGGGAAGGGAGGGAGATAGAGAGAGAGAGAGAGGAACATCAATGTATGGTTGCTGGGGGTCATGGCCTGCAACCCAGGCATGTACCCTGACTGGGAATCGAACCTGCGACACTTTGGTTCGCAGCCCGTGCTCAATCCACTGAGCTACGCCAGCCAGGGCTATTACATTTTTCTGAATGAACTTTAGTGTCATTTTGTTAATACCAAAAGTTAGCTTGGTGTTTTCATTAGGTTTGCAGTAAATTTATAGGTTAACTTAGGGAAACTATTGAAACTTGATATTCAGGAATATGGAATGTCTTTTCATTTAAATCTTTATGACTTTCAGAATAATTTTCTTCAATACAGGTTCTACATACTGCCATAATATCTTATCACTCGTGGTTCCATGTGCATTGGGCCTTTTCTTCTATTAGTTTCAAACAGATTTTTTTATAGAAAAGTTTTTGTCTTTTTATCTATAAATTTCATAACTTGCTGTTTTACTAAGTGATGATAGTGAAATAATAATATGCAAACGTTTTCTTTGTGCTCTATGTGTGCCAGGCAGCATTTTTAAGTGCTTGTATTACCTCATTTAATCTTTTCACTTAATTCTATGAGGAAAGGCACTGTTATCATCTCTGCTTTAAAGCTGAGGAAACGAAGGCACAAAGAGTTGTGGGACGTAACCTGGATATGTATGTGGGGCGGAAGGCTGGGCGTTAACGAACAGCTCGCTCTGCAGATCGAGCGTGAGAGCATTGAGTACATGGCCAGTGCGAGAGGAGTAGTTTTTGGTGCCTGCGTTTTATCTTGTATCCCTTGGTTATGTCCAGGGTTAGGATACATGTGGGACAGACATGTAGACCAATCCAATGCCCTGTGACTAGTGGGACTACCGGTGTGGTGACAGCAGACATTGAGCCAGTCACTTAACACCTCAGTGATCACTTCGCCCTTTCGCACTGAGACCCTTTGAGGCCTACGTCTGTATTGCTCGTGTATTTTAGGCTTGGAATTGGAGGCCCTTTGTTTTCTGAATCTCTTACTGAAGACATAAGAAATCATCTCACAGAAATTCCTGGTATAAGCTGATCTCGTGCCCCCAGAAGAGCATTTACAGACGCTGCTATCAGGACACTGGGGAAAACTCTGTTGTTGCAGCTAATGGGAGCCACGTGTGTGCGGTCTGTGACACACAGTGTCGCTTCCTGTCGCAGTGTGCTTGGTCTGTCAGGTGTGGTGTGTTCACATTGCTCAGCCGCATGCGCAGAAATCACGCAGAGACGAAAAATGTCAGCCGCTCACAACACACAAAAATGTTGGATTCAGGCCCCAAGAGCCCCGATCTGGGCGGTTAATGTTGTCAGATGTGAGGTGCGTGTCACTCAGCCTTGGTGGGGGTGTCGGGCACCCTCGGAATCCCATCAGGGTGCAGGCAGGTTTCTCTGAAAAATCAGAGGAGCAAGAAATGTCTTCCTCCACAATAAAGTTTCTGCCAAACGTTTGGGTATTAAATATACACTAATATATATTCATAGTTAGTACAAATTAGGTCTACTTTAAATAATTCATTAACGATAAGATTACAATAGAAGTGAATGATGAAAGGGTTTTCCTTTGTATGCTCTGGCAGTTAACTAGAGTGGCTGGCTAGAACCTTCTCCTAAAGAGGGGAAAGCATCCTACAGATGGTCCCCCCATCCTGCTGGGAGCACGGAGGCCCGTGTGCTGTGGGAGCTGCCGGGCATCTTCACACCACCCCCGTCCACAGCCCTCCTGAGCCCCGTGACTCAGCATGGCATGAGAGATACAGTCCCTTTGGCTTAACAAGCTTGTTTTTCTGGTTTATCGCTGCAGCAGAATTAGAAGAGAGGCCCATCAGCGTTGACGCAAAGGAGGTGCACGAGGGAGGAGACAGCCAAGCTACAAAATCAGTAAATATAAAATTATCTTTTTAAATCAGAGCCTGCCTAGCCTGCCTTACGGATGTTGCCCTACTTCTGCTCCTTGTATGAGTCATGCCGCGGTGGTTGCTCAGGACCCTCCGTCATCAAGGAAATGCAGTGACGTGTAGAATACAGTTTAGTAAAGCAGAGATGGGCTGTACTTAAATAAATGATTGCAGTAGTTTCTCTAATGGTTAATTCGAGGGGTTAGGAGCATTAATTTACAGTAGTCCTCTCTAACCTGGGTTCCATAGGTTTGTTTCAGATGTCCATGAACTTCTAAAAATTGGGCACAAAGTTGTGCATGTTCATATATCGCTTTTCCATGGGAGAGTGGAGCCTGAGGGAGGGAGACTCCACAGGCTTCACTAGACCCTCAAAGAGGAGCGAACCCCCAAAAGGTTGAGAACCAATGAATGGTCTAAGAACGCTTCCAGCCAGAGAGCTGTGTGACTGGAAACCTGGAGACAGGGTGGCGAAGCTTGGCACACAGAACGGGTCACCGAGTTGTGATTAACGTTAGGTGTGTGATGAGTCTAGCAGCCTCTTGGCACATGCACAGTTTAAGCTCCTTCTTTCTCTTAAAATACCACCGTCGGTCTTCACTCCCGTCACAGTAGTGCCACAGCTTAAAGTACATTGAGCCACAGAGTTGGAGGAGTCTTCAATCTGGCCTCTGCTTCATCTGTTCAAGGCACCCGAAACCAGTTCCCGAGCCCCAAAGTTAAAAATAACCCATTCTCCAGCCAGCTAGACAAATAGCAGCTGCCATGGTCACCACAAAAATCCTCCAAGTGGGGAGGAGTCAGCTCTTCTTCCCTCTGAGCAAAGCTCTGGGGGTGGAAACCATTTCTTGAATGTTTGGAGTGAATGGAGGCCTTGGGAAAGAGGGAAAGAACCAACAATTTGCTGCTCTGTCATTAAGGAGGTATGAATCTGTCTTCAAGACACAAACCCTCACCTTATTCTGATGTGCTACATGAAATTTACAAAGTTACTGAATCCATGCGACAATTGTAATCAGTCATATTCACTTTTGCCCCCAAATGTCATGAACTTAGAGCTAGAACTATCATTTTTGCATATTCTGCCTTCAAGAGATCTTTACTCAAATAATTTATAAACATTTTGTAAGAACTTCATATAGTACAGAAAGTGAATGTAAAGATTCTCCACTTCCCACCCTGGCTTGAGCACTGGCCTGCAAACCCAAGGGTCGCTGGTTCGGTTCCCAGCAGGGCACATGCCTGCGTTGCAGGCCAGGCCTTCAGTAGGGGGTGCATGGGAGGCAACCACACATTGATGTTTCTCTCCCTCTCTTTCTCCCTTCCCCTCTCTAAAAATAAGTAAATATATTTTTTTTTAAAAAAAAGAACCTCCACTTCCCCACAAAACTCCCAGTTCTGCTTCCTAGAGGTCCACTGCATATTCTGTGTACTTTCCAGAAAGTAGATACGCCCTTTGAGAAAAGTACACAAGAGGTCACAGGAATATATTAGGCATCTTGCTTTTCTTCACTGTCTTCCAGATTAATCTGCCTCATTCTTTTCAGTGGCTGCAGAGCACTGATCGTGTGACCGTCTCTGTTGTGTTCGAAGAGGTCGTTTAGATTCGCTCCAGCCGGGGCTGGTCCCCCAAGGCTGCGTGCCCGGCCTCCCTCATTCGCCGAGGCCTGCTGCGTGAGTCACCTGTGAAGCACACTGCGGGGGAGAGGTTGCAGCTCGAGGGGCGTGCGGGTAGAGCTTGCAGAAATGGATAAGAGTGTGCATCGACTTACACTTCCACCAGCAGTGTGTGAGAATAGCTGTCTCCCCATCTTCTCACCAACACTGGGTTTTCCAAACTTACTTTTGCCATACTAATAGGTAAAAGTATATTTTATTGTTCTGACTTCTTTTATTATGAGTTAGACATAACACTTATTTTAAAATAAATACTTGCTGATTTGATTTTAAGCATCAGAGGTCCCTTTTTCCTCATTTAAGTACTTTGTTCCCCAGCCCCATTTCTTCTTTTGGCATTTTCTCTAGAAATTCATCCTCCTAAATTGTGTAATAAGTAAAATATTTTGGGGGGAAGATCAAGTTTTCTTTGGATTTTTTAAGAAATCCTTGGTCGCCTTGCGTCAGGCTAGTATTTCAGTCGATTCCTCCATCTCTGCAGTTTGGCGAGATCTTCTGCAATAGTCCTAATCATTCTGTCAGTAGTTTCTTTCAAAACGATCGCTGTCCTGAGGGCGTTATCCAAAGAGGAGTTTAAACCCTGCAGAGCAAAGTCCACACGTTGTAGTTACATAAATGTACCACTGTGCCTATTAGGGCTCTCGTTAAACACTGCAAGGTGGAATTTGTTTGGAGTGCTCTGTTCTCCACTGGTCTGTTTCTGTTTTTGAGAGTTGGTTTCCTAGGAAACCAGTTTGCGATGGAAGATATTTTTTAGGGCAAGGGACAGAAAAAAGACGGATACATGACTGATGAGTGTGAGTCAGAGGGTGAGGTCAGCAGCCTGCTGGGCTGGTCCCCTGATGCAGGGAAAGAGGTCTGTGAGAAAGAAGAAGAGCCCCTGGGGCCGCCGCCGGGCGTAAACACAGAGCGCAGGGATACAGCACATGCGTGCGGAAGCATCTGACAGTGGCCTGGGAATTGGATGTGAGAATTGGATGTGAGAATTGGATGTGGCTGGCAGCTGTAACCCCAGTGTCACTGGGACAGGCCTGTGAACCGCTGGGGACAGTCTCCTGTGCCTTCTGCCTGGGCCAGGGGACTTCTGAGGCTGAGGCATCGCCCACCACACTTGTTCCCTGGGAGCCAGTTCGGAAAGAACCCAGGACCCAGCATGCGGCTGCTCAGGCCACGTTAGTGGAAACACTGACTTCTCAGCAGAACAGTGTTTGATGCCGCCATGCTATGAAAATGTAAAGGCCATCGGTGTTGTGGTCATCAAGACCAGGCGTAAGGATTCTAGACCAAGCTGCAAGGACTCTAGATTGTGTTTTCTGAGTGCTCACCTCAGATTTTGTTTCTTCGATACAGCTCAGGTTGCCTGAAGATTTGCTTCCAGAACTCCCGCGGGAGTGGAAGTGGGGCGAGGATGAAGCCAGGGCTGAACCGTAGGCCATGAAAGCTGTAAGATTGTTTCTGGAAGGGAAAAAAGCAGCTTGGCATCTGTGTGCAGCGCCCTCCGCCCTGCGGCGCGGTGTGCCCTGTGAGTGCACGTGGGTGGAGAGGAGCTGGGCATGCTGTGCCTGCTGTGGCTCTCGTGGTCCCCTCGTGGCTGACCACAGCTGAGCTTCAGAAGGGGGTTCCCACGGCCGTGAAGGGCGTCTCTGCCTGGCATCTGTCTCCTCTTCTGTTAACACAGAAAGAGGCAAAACTCCACGAAGAGATTTTATTCCATTTTTATTGCTTCGCGGGCAACCTTCTACCCTGCATATTTATGAAACAAATGCATACCAGTCTGCCAAATGCAGACCCTCTGAGTTGAGTTCACCGTAGCACCCGAGGGCGAGCTGCCACAGAAAGGGCGCGGCAGCAGGGGAAAACACTGAAGCAGCACCTCCTTCTGTAAACGGGCTCCCCTGGGCCGGGACGCCAACCGCGAGTCTGTCTCGGTGAAGGCCCTGCCTCTGCACTGGGTGACAGAGGGGGGTCCCAGGGCCACTGCTGCAGTGCCGCCCACCACACACACACACACACACACACACACACACACACACGAGGGACTTTCACTCACAAACACTGGGTGAAGGGCACTGCATGGAGTTGCAGTCTGCACGACCCCGGCTGCACCGGTGGGCTGTGGAGCCACCCTCACATCGCCCCCTGGCTTGAGAGTCCTTGTGCGACATGTCACTTCCGTGGTGCACACCACCCTTGTGAGTCTGACTTCAAGTGCTTGTGACACAGCACTTCCCTCCCTCCCTCCCTCCCTGCCCCCTCCCTCCCCCCACCATGTTAACATCAGCTGGACCTGCCCTCCAGTGGAGAGAGGTGACTCGGCGTCAGGGCCCCAGCTAATGAAAAGCTCTGGGCAGGGCAGTTGGGAAGAGTGGGCGTCAGAGTCCCGTGTCCCCACGTGGTATCTGCCACCCCCTCAGCAATAATGGCCATCACTTGCTGAGTGCTTACAAGCCAGGTGCCTTTCTCGGTGCTTTCAGTGTACTGACTCAGTCCCAGATGAGTTCGGCGCTACTGCTATTCCCACTTGGGGGACGATGGAGGAACACAGTGGGGATAGGGAGGCACAGCGGGGTCGAGCAACCTGCCCAAGGACACTGAGCTCAAGTGCAAACCCAGGAAGTCTCCAGAGGCCACATTCTTAAACAGTACCCCCTACGGCAATGGGCGGTGGGCTCGGACTGAGTGGGACATCAGAGCCTGAACTCGTAACCACGCTGCTCCACTGTTGGTTCTGCTCCTTCCACAGCTCGGGAACGCCGGACTCTCCCCATTTCTACCACCTCCCTCCGTGTTGACCGCCCTTGAGCAGGCTGCCGTCACCTCACCTGGAGTCTGCTCTAGCCTCTTCTGTGCTCGATCTTCGACACCTCTTATCATTCCCCCTTTCTTTGTAGTTACAGTGATCTCTTAAAACACTAGAAATCTTCTAAACCTCCCTGGTTAACAATCTTCTTTGATGTCTCATTATAGCTAAGAGTCTGCAGTCCTTCCTGTAGCTGCCAAGCCCTTGAACGGCTGGGCCCCGCTCCTCCCACCAGCCCTCCCTCACCGGCTCCACCTTGTCCCACTGCCCTTCCCTCTTTTTAGGCTCTGGCCCCACCGTCACTGGACCTGCTCGGGGTCTCTCCACATCAGGAAGCTCTCTCAGACCGGAGTTCTGTCCTATCCCTCCTTCCCCTTGCTAGTGCATTCACGCGTATTCTTCGGAGCTGAGCTTCCCTGAACCCCAAATTAGATGATAGCACGCTGAATGCCCTTCTCGGCATTCCCAAACACTGCCGCCTCTACCACAAAAGTGAGCTCCACGAGGGCAGGGACAGTCATCAACTTTGTCACTGTGTCCTCAGCGGCTAGCTCAGCACCGTGCTGTTGGCACTGTAATATTTGTTGGATGAATAGGTGATTGAAACATTAGCAGACCTGGGTTTGAATCCTGCTTCTACTACTTAGGATCTGGATGATCTTGGGCAGGTAATTTAATCTGCTAAGCACATAGCCAACCAGTGGGCAGGCATTTTTGTTATCAATACTGATAGTAAAATAATACTCACTTTCCTGGTATGGGCTCATGTTCATCTTGAGAAGGTTTTGAATCTGCGCTCTCAGAATAGATCCAGTTTGGTTTTGAACAAGCTGAAAAAGTGTTGGCTGTGATTAAATTCAGAGCATCAAAAATGGTCCCTGAATGGTGGCTATCTGGGTGTCATTTCCTGAACTCTTTGTGTGAATGAAATATTTCGTAAAGAAAATTGGGGAGCATGGAAAACAAAGAATTTTCTATCAGGTATTCTGAATTCAGTAAAAGAAACTCCGTTTTTAAAAGGAGCGTTATTAGCAGACAAGAGACCAGGTGTCTAGGTTCCCTGGGTGCCGGCCTGGTGACCTGGGCGAGTCGTCTAACTTTTCTGGGCTCAGCGGCCTCACGCGAGAGTGGAGGGATGAACGCTTCCCAGAGGCTGAGCCCGCCGCATTCCTGGAGTCCTCTCGGCTCTAGGAACAGGGGTTCTAGCAGACACTAACCAGTAGGTCACTAAGGCAATTCCAGAAATCAGAGACTGAACAGTGAAGACAGAGGTCAAAGTCACCCCCCTTCCCCTCCTCTCTCCTCTATCTTCCCCTCTTCCTCCTCCCCGGCCCCCTGTCTCATTCACTGGTCTCTAGCAGGCAGGCTCCCCCCCTCAGGAGGATCCCGTTCGACAAGGGGACCGGGACAGGTTGCCTGTCCCTCAGGCATGGAAGGCGGGCAGTACCAGAGAGTCCAAGTTCAGTGACACTGGCCACCAGACCTGTGTCGTGATGCACAGAGACACTCGTGAGCTGCTGGGTCCCAGTCCTTTGGTAGTCTCCAGGTGTAAATTGTAGGTTTTGTTAGAAACCTAGAAACTCAGAGCTGGAAAGGGCCATGGGTCACCTGGTCCAGTTCCGTCTAGTCCAGTCGTCACAGCTACAATGTCTCAGCAAAGCACACTGTGTCCCAGTCTACAGAGGGGCCTCACAGCCCCCCACGACCGCCCACCCCATTTTCTGTTCCAGTGTCCGTGACGTCTGCCTCCTGGCCACGGCACGTTTACTACAGGAGTCTGAGACCACAGTTCACACGACCCGGTCACTTCCCTCACCCACCGACTGGAATAACAGGCTCCATGAGCCGCAGACCTGAACACCAGAGCGATAGGAAAGGAACCTGCTCTGTCACTTCTACAGAGTCACTGCCAGCCGGACAGCCCACCCGCCTGGAGGGTTTGGCAGGTGAGGTCAGTCAGGCAAAGGGTAAGAGATGTCTTCCCTGCCCTGTCCGCCGAGAGAGAGAGAGAGAGAGAGAGAGAGAGAGAGAGAGAGAGGGAGAGAGAGAGAGGGAGGGGGGGGAGAGGGAGGGAGAGAGAGGTGGGAACTCGCCCTCGAGGCAAGGGCCTCAGAGGACCAGGCAGGCCTGTCTGGAGACAAAGCAGGGGGCGTGTCCTGCCCGCCCCATTCCCAGCACACGCCGGCTGCTTGCAGGGCATTCTGCTGCGGGCTCTCCCTGTCTGGGCTCGGGCCCCTTTCTCTCAGTGGACTGTGGTCTCCCTGGGACGGGGGAGCCACGTCCTGTTCGTTCATCTTGGTAAACCAGTGTTCGTGAGATCTTAATTTTTTCCTAAGCAAAATTCTGCATTGAGGTTGGCCATGATGTTTAAGGAGTGTAAAAACAGCCTATTTCTTTCCATGCTGACTGTTAGCAGGGATGTATTTAAAGCTTTTGCCACTCCTGAGTAATGACAGAATAGCGGCAATTACCCTGTTGGTGGCTTGCTCAGCAAATATTTACGATTTGTTACCCGATTGCACTTAGCACCTACTACCCGTCAAAGTCCTTTGTCCTTAGGACTTCACGTCTGCCAGGCCCTCCAGACCTGGCAGGCCCTCTTGCCCTCCAGACATCGGGCTGGAGGCCTGGGCAGCAGACTGGACAGGGCGGCGGCCCCCCAGGCGGAAGGGCCGGCTGGTGTAATGCAGGTCTCCCATGCCTGGGAGACTCGCTTGTTTACAAGGATGGGATCCTGCAGGAGATGTACTTACAAGGTGAAGAATTTTTATTTTCATTTAAAAAACGGAGCTGGACAAAGGCACTTCCTCCTTCGTGATTTGAGCAATTCTGTCCCGGCGTGTTGTATCTGTAATGAAATTCTGAAAAAGTTAAAAATATGAGTCATTGTCTGGGAACAGCCGCTCTCCCCATCCCCACCGCCGCCTTCTTCCAGGCCCCTTACTCGCCCTCACCTCCGAGTGGTTCCTTCTGGCGGCCCCTGGGGGAGTTCGGAACCTCAGTGCCGCAGGTCTCGCATCTATGGCCCCGCAGTCCAGTGCCAGAGGCGGAGCAGCAGCTCAGATCTGTATCGGGGCCTGAAAAAACCCGGGTCACATGAAGACGTGTGAGTTTCTCGAGTTTCTCCGGTGCGGCGAGTGCAGCTCTCACCAGGCAAGGTGTGCGTGGGACGCCAGAGTTGAACCCCTCCGGCCGTGTTACCAAGGGGAGTTGCCAGCCCAGGAGCGCCGTCTGTGGTCCCTTTCTGCACCCGAGAGACGTTCTGATAAGTGGCAGTTCTGAAAAGAAAGTCTCGCCTTGCCTAGCGCGCGTGTGGCTGCTTCGTGAAGGTCTGTGGTACAGGCGGGCCTGTCAGAGCTTGGCCCTCTGAATTGTCAGGCAGTCTTGCACTTGGAGGCGTTTTCCCAGATTTGCCCCGACGAGGCCGCATTCTCTTCTTGTGCCCTGCCGTGGCCACGAGCTTGTGCTGTGTCACCCAGGCGGCTGGACAGATGGTTTTCCCCGGCGTTCCTCCCTGAGCCCACGTAGGATCCTGAATCGTGGCTTTGCCCTCCTCAGAGGCGGGCGGTGGCGCGCACGTGTGTCCCGTGCAGGTGTGAACTTGGTCAGCAGGAGTGGCCAGTGCAGCTGTGAGGGCAGGTAAGGGCAGAGTGGGGGGCTGGGCCAGGCAGGTGGGTACGTCAGGCTTGGTGTTCAGGCAGCATCTCCGCTCCAGGGCAGGTGAAGCCGGGGCACAGAGCCCCTGCCCGTGCTGCCAGCCTCGCTGCCTGCATGACTGCACTCATTCGTAACGTCATCCTTCAGAGTGTAAGTCACACGCCCAAGGAGCTCTAGAAAGGCTTTTTCTCTCCCAAATCGCATTCAGTCCCTCATCATTGAATGTCTTCTTACTCCTGAAGCCAAGGAAGCTACAAGTGGACCCCAGGGACAAACCCTGGGAAGGTTGTGTGGTTGGTGGGAAGAGCAAGGGACTCAGGCGGGCCTGCATTCGAAGCGTGGCTCTGCCACTTGGCTGTGCTGGTGGGACGTAGGTGCACATAGGCTTTGGCATGTTGTTCACGGAGTGGGCTGGACTTAGTGGCTCACTCCTAACAGAGTAAGGAGGCAGCGATGGCGCATAACTTCCAAAGCCCAGTCATGAAGGACGTTGAAGTTACCCGTCTTGCTCTCTCTTGGATCACTTGCTCCAGGGGAAGCTGGCCCCCGCGTCTTAGCGACACTCAGGCAGCCAGTGGCCACGCGAGGGACCCCCTGGGAGACAGACTGTCCGCCCCAGTCATCAGTGCTGGGCACCACCTTCACTGCGGCCTCTCCATGCGAGAGACGCCGATCCCCCCTGGGTAAGCTGCTCCCTGATACCCGACCCGCAGACCCTGGGTGGAGAAGGTTGGCTGGTTTGAGCCCACAGGTTTCGGGGCCCACTGTCACCCGTCAGTGTGTCACTGATGCACCCCCTGTCTCATCCGGGCAGGGCACTCCACTTCTCGGAGCCCCCACTTCCTTAGCTGTAAGGATGGTCATTCCTGCCTGTCGGGGGCGCTGTGACAGCCGAGCTCCATGCGCTGCGCCCCCAGTTCTCAAACGTCTCATTTCAGGGCCCTCTTACCCTCACAGCCGACGACCCTGGAGAACTTGTGTTCTCCGTGTGAAGCGACCAACGCCATGTCGTGTGCCCGTGGCGAGACCCCCCCGAGTAGCAGAGGGCCGTCTCCCACACTCGGTCCACTGAGACCGGCCGGCAGAGGGATGTCCCCGGGCGAATTTCACGTCGTTTCTGCTTGTACACAGACTCAGACCTTTCCCAGACTCAGTGGGCAGTCCTGAGGCTTCAAAAACATTGTTTTTAACTGAGCTTATTTTAAAAATATTTCAGTTGTTATGTCATTTAAAAATAATCTATTTCATATTAACAAAACATTTTTTTAACAAAAACTAAACTTTTGGAGATTAAAAAACATTGGAAGAGCGGCCTGTTTTGTGTGCTGGGGAGTATCCTGAGTGTCTGCCTGAATCGAAGGCAGCCGGGTTCCATGGCTGCACCTCCCTTTCATCTGGGGGGACACTGGCCTCACACAGACGCATCGCTAGGAAAGAGAGGACCTCACCGTCCCCTTGGGAGGGTCTCGGGGACTCCCCGAGGCCTGCTGACCACATTTCGAAAGCCTCTACTCTGCTGTAGCATCTGCTATAGTAAGTGTTCAGTCACTGACAGCGTGTCACCCACAGAGAAGAACTGGAACTAAACGAGACATAGGACAGCGAGTTGCAGGAAGGCTCTTGGCCACAGGCCGTGTGACCGTGAGGTCTCTGAACGCCGTCCTCGCCAGCTCTCTGGCCCCGGGGTTCCTCGCCTATAAGCAGGGCGGAGGAGGCTCAGAGGTGGTTTTCGTGCTCAGGAGCTGCGTGGGCGGGCAGGGCCCAGCCCCGCCTCTCCCCCACCCAGGGCAGCTCTGCCAGGGGGTGTTTTGTGCTTCAATTACCTCTGAGAAAGGCTTCTGTGACTCAGAGTCATTGAATTCCGTGCACTGCGCTCTCTGGGTCTCCTCCCAGCCCTGATTTTTCTTTGCCTCTCTGAAATGTGCACGGGAGAGTCAGCAGCAACTCTGGCGTGGCAGCGAAGCTCACGGGTGTGCCTGGTGGGTCGCGCTGGGCGGGCGATGACACAGAACCGAGGCCACCTGGTGACCAAGTCCATGGAGTGCCGCCGGTCCAGCCAGAAGCGCGTTGGCATGCTCACGCTCCTGACCACATCTTATTTAACTCTGCTTAGTTTTTAAATCTTTACATTAAAAAAAAAAATAGGACGTGCAGCACCCCAGTCCAGGCGGCGCTGTTCGGAGCGGCAGATGGCGGGCTAGCACCCGCCATGAGCAGCCCCCCGTGGAGACGCGCCCCAAAGACTGAGCGCCCGCGGCCCCAGGCCCCCGACTTACTGAGACTTGAGTCCCGGCGCAGCGCCTGCCCTGAGCGGGCGGCAGGAAGCCTTCCGCCGCCGCTCCTCCTGTGGCCTCTTCTCTCCACGTTTTGCTTCCTAGAAAAAGGTGCATGAGATCCCATAAGCCTAGAGCACAAGTCTCCCGGGGGTAGCGAGAGTGTCGGTCGAGCTGAAGTGTTAATCCCGTGTCCGAGTCTGGGCCGGGGCAGCGGATGAGGTCCTCAGCACAGGGCTGCCCCCTGCCTGCCCGCCCGCCCGCCTGCCCGAGAGCTTCCGCGTCAGCAGCGGCACCCAGCGCAGTCTGGCCTGGTAAGAACATAGTTACCAAACGTTAAAAGTAAGTCTGTTTTGTTCCCCCAGAGGATAATACCTAGTCATTATACCTACTTACACAATATGGAAACTTGACGTTTGTAATTATAAAAATTTGGAGGTTTTTTTTTTTCGTATTCATGTCTCCAAATCGGTTCTTATCAAGGAAAGAAGAAGCTGTGCTATATGTCACATGGCTTTGACTCTCTAAGTACAAACTGCATGTATTTCAAAAGTCCATAAAGTAGATTTTGTCTGGTGTCCGTGGGGCTGGAAGGTAGGGGGCATCTGGGCTTATCTGTACGAGGCCACCAGGGGGCACCAGAAGATGCCCTCCAGTTGTCATGTACCAGGCAACCTCCTCTGATCGTTCCTACTTCAGCCTCCCTCCTTGCCAGACCTTCTAACTCCTCCAAAGAGATTCTAATAATAATTCCTAAGCTCCTGCTCAGCCCCTGCGGCGCAGTAGACCCCAGGGGAAGCTGATCATTCTCAGGGAGGAAGGCACCATGCCCAAGATTCCCTGGACCAAGGCCAAAAGGCAGGAGGAATGGGGCCGGGCTCCCAGGGAAGGGGGCGAGTCCCGGTGCTGCTTGGCAAATGCCTGCAGGTCTCCCTGGGCCCGAGTCTGTGGGCCTCCGGCCCAGAAGCCGGGCCCCGCCCCTCTTCTTGGAAAAACATGCTGTCCTCCTGAGTCACACTTTCTCACACCTCATTTTCTCTCTCCACCCTCCTCCCCTGGGGCATTTGAACATCTGCTCTCCAAAGTGGGGAGAACTTGGATCTCACCCCAGTGGGCTCAGTCCAACACGGCTTTCTTTTTCTGCTTCTTTTAAGCTTCTTTGTGCATGGAAATCTTCCTGCCAAACCTAACAGCGAAGGGCAGTTCTGCTTGAGGAGACAGTTTTAGTAGCTTAAGTCCAAAGTTCTGCAGCAGACATCACACAAAGGGATAAGCACTTCACATGTAGCATCTGTGTCATGTATCTGCATGTATGCACCACCTTGCAGACATTATGTCCATCAGCAAGTTTTATAAAGAACACAATCATCTCAGGGAGCGAGTCCTCTAAAAAAGTAAAGTGTATACGTAACCCTCTGCTCGGTGAATTCCTCCGAGACTGTGTCCTTGACCAGGAGCCCGGTTTATACACCACGCGCGTGTGTCTCATCGCTGCCCAGAAGCACGCTCCCTGTCAGGTCTGACTTTCTCTCCCCCTTGTCTGTCATGAGAGAGTGAACCCAGTCCAGAGCCTTGGTCCCTGTGGGGTCTAGACTGGGAGTTTGGAGGAGAAATGTTTAGTACCTAGAATGCTTGATGAAAATGTTTTTAAAATGTAAGGTATTTTTATTATGCTTAATAACACCTTGAAACATCCAGAACCTGGATTCTCAGTTCAGCGAGTACAGGCGGTAGGCCTGGGGTGGTGGCTCGGGGAGCGCCCGCCCGCGTTGACGGCCGGAGCTGACGACTGGCAGGTCGGTGTGAAGTGCTGGGCCGGCGGGGTGATCCGGGGGGATGTTAGCACAGACGCACGCTGTTTCTCTGGGGGAGGGGGGAGCTCAGGGACCGCTTTTGACGCGTGCCCATTCCCGCAGTGGAATGTTTTCCAACAGGAAACTTCAGTCTTTCAGACCTTGTCATCTGCTTCTATTAGAGTCCATTACGACATGTAACTGTGGTTGCCAAACAGCTCCTCCCACCTTGACCCTTGACCTTCCAAAGGTAAATTAGGAAAGCTTTGGCCCCAGTCCATGGGGCCTCGTGACCTTGGAGGTGGCGCCTCTCCACAACTGACAGAAGCTTCGAGGCGGTGATGCTCAGTCCACAGGGGCTAGCCATCGCTCCAGCGCATGATGGTAAAACACGCATGTCTCCTTCCGATTTCATATCTGCAACTCTGTGCACGACTTCCCACTTACTACCTTGAAGATTGTTGCTGAGTAGTGACCGGGGAGAAGGAAGCCCTGAGATGGGGGACAAGGTTTATGTGTGCTGCGACCGGGGGCAGAGGTGGGAGCCGTCCCAAGGAGAGCAGTGAGGGCGGGAGCCGGTGTGCGATGGTGTGGGGCAGTATTCCCCACTCCTCTGGGCAGCGTTCAGAGGCTCCCGGCCCAGGGGGCTTGTCGGAGTCCGCTGGGGAGGCTGAAAACAAGAATTCCTCCCGGCTCCACCCCTGGCGAGACTGAAACAGCAGGCGGGGCCGTGGCATGCACGTGATTCTGAAATCCCCCTGGTGATTCTGGTGCTGGCCCACATCAGCATGATGGAGAACCCCAGCCGCGGGGGAGGGGGCTGCACTACGTGCCCCGCTCTGAGGTCTGTGGTTCTGTAACCGCGCCAGCGGCTTCTGGCACCCGCTCAGCCAGCCGACGCCCACTCCCACTGGAGTCCTCACCCCGGGCCCAGCTTCCGCCCAGCCCGGGAGTTCCGCCACTCTCACCATTCAAGGACCCGGCGGCAGAAGACACAGCTCCAACCGGTCATCTCTGCGCGTTCCGCACGTTTCTGCCTTCCGGAGGGGCGGCGGGGGTCCCGCTGCACCAGAACACACACACAGATGTGGCTGTGACCACGGAAGTGACTCATCCTTGGCTGCTCAAGCACAGCCCAGCAGGCAGCCGGGGCTCGGCTGAACTCACCACTCAGGGCTGCCTGGTCTGATCCCGCCCTCGGTGGTCTGTGCCGTGCCCGCTGGGGCTCAGAGAAAGACCCCCACCCGGCCTCGCCTCACCTTCTCTCCACCTCCAAACAGATTGTAGAGCCTGGCTTACAACAAGAGGATACTTTTCCCTTTTTTATATTCTTTAGTTTCAAATTACCCCAGGCTCCTCCAGACGATGAACAGACTTTAGAGGATAAGTTTTAAATCTATCAGTCTGACCATTGTTTAGGAGAGCTCTGAAAGCTTTTCTTTTTTTTTTTTTTAATTTAATAGAGCCCATTTCTCTTTTTTTAAGCTTTTACTTATTTATTTTTAGAGAGGGAAGGGAGGGAGAGAGAGAAACATCAATGTGCGGTTGCTGGGGGCCGTGGCCTGCAACCCAGGCATGTGCCCTGACTGGGAATCCAACCTGTGATGCTTTGGTTCGCAGCCCGCGCTCAATCCACTGAGCTATGCCAGCCAGGGCTTGAAAGCTTTTCCAAAGAAATACGTTCAACTGAGGATTAGCACACAGTTGGGGGCTGCCTAGAGACCTGGGTTACTGTTTCACACACGAGAACGACACCCCGACAGCGCCTGGCGCGCGTTTCTGAGGACACCTCTCACCCTGCCGACAAACAAGACACGTGCACCTTCCTCGTCATGAGCAACGCTGGCCCAAGCAGCGTTCGCTGTGCGGTAGTTTTTTCCGAACGTGAATTGCTTCCTTAGGAAACGCCTGGGTCAAAGGTTGAGAACATGTTTGTGTGGTGATAGGAACTGCCGAACTGCTTTCCACCGAGGGCGAATCACACGGCCACCAACAGTGTGGGCCACTCGGTGTGGCCACGCCTTCCTCTGCACGGGGAGTTACCAGCCGAAAATGTTTGTGTTCCTTTAATAAGGGGGGTGGCGCCCTGTGTGGATGAGCATTTCCTCTGTTATTAAAGGAGATCAGCGCTTTCCTATATGCTGATTTATTCGCTGCATTTCCTACCTGTGACTTTCTACTTCGTGTCTTTTGTTCCATTAATTTTTTGGAGGGTCTCCGTGGTTACTTGTTAATAAACACAAGCACGTGCTGATCGCTCACCGGGCGAGGTGCCTCTCCCGCGGCCTCCCTTGCTCCTTCCCACCACCCTGGCCTGCTGTCCCCGTTTCATGATGAGCACCCTGGGGCTCAGAGAACTGACGCAGCCTGACAGGGTCACCCCGAGAGGGACAAGTGACACGCGGAGCTGGGATTTGCTCCTCTCCCTGTGTGCCGTGTTCTTAATCAGGATTCTGCTCCGCAGAGCACTTGGTGTGCTGAAAATCTTACTGTGGCACTTCACTTGCTCACAGTATTTCCCCAGTTGTCTGCTTTAAAAAAATGTGGGTTCCATTTTGCAAACAAAACATTGATGCTGTCAGAGAGGAAGTGGAAATGGCCAAGAAACATAGGAAAATGGGTTCAATTTCATAAATAGTCAAAGAAATACAGATTAAACTCATGAGATGCCAGTTTTCCCTCTACCGCTTTGGCAAAGGCTAGAAAGAAAAAGAACCAAAAGTATGGGGCGGGGTCACACCTCACGTTGGAGGCGCGCACTGCCCCCACACTCTGCTGTGAGCTTCCCAAGGCCCGCGGGGCAGAGTTTTCAGTGTGTGCATTTTGGACCACTAACTGCACTTCTAGGATTTTCTTCTCAGGAAATAGTCAACTGTGAAAAAGTTTGCGTTTAAAATGATGTTACCTGGAAAAAACCTAAATGTCCATTCATGAGGGATTAGTGAAATGAGTCAGGCAGGGTACATCCCTAAGATGAAGTACAGCCCTTAAAAATGAAACTGTAGGCATATTCTAAGGGATATGTTGAACTCCTCACAACATAAGGTTACATGAAAAAAAAATCACAAAACAATACAAAGAATAGGATCCCATTTTTGCAAAAACGTGTATGGGTGTGCAGAGAAAAAAGACTGGACACATGTTAAAATATTAGTAACAACAACAAAACAATAACAAAAAAAACTTTAAAAATTAGAAAAATATTGGTGACATTCAGTGAAATATTTATGCTTTTCTCTATTTTATGGTTTTTTTGGGGGGAGCCATAGCATATATTGCTTTTGTCATTCAAACACTTCCAGGTCAACTGGGGTTCCCCTGCACGGCACATTCAAGGCCGATTCACACTTCAGACCCTAGGGAGGGCTCAGCTGAGCCCCAGCTGAGATCCAGTGTGTCCTGACCTCCTGAGTTTCCATCTGCTCTTCTGCAAAAAAGTCTTTGCACACCGTAAAGCTCTGAACCAAGAGTTATGACTGTGAGCTGCTTTCAATTGTGTCGTTATCATTTGAGACCCAGGGGTTTTAACCTGTGTTTCCAATCCGTTCATAATGAGATCATCTCACCTGCAGCCCTGGACAGCAGCATGGGCCTCACCTGGGAGCTTGTTGGAAACGCAGAGTTGCAGAGCATCCGAAACTAGGGACTGGAAGCCTGCGTTTCAGCTCCCATCAGAGGCGTGGGTGACTCGAGGCCGGCTGCAGCTGGAGCGCCCTGCTCTGGCCCAGCCACCTGGGCAAGCTCTGAGCGAGCGGCGCTGAGAGTGGGAAATGTTAGCGATGGGTCGCTCCCAGCAGTGCCAGGCCCCAGGGTGCCCCTCGGTGCAGAGCCAGCTGATTTTGTCTGTCCATTTCAGAGTCGCCCTCGGCGACGCGGATGCCTGGTGGAGTCAGCGGCGTGGCCTGGGCGGAGCAGGACCAGGCACTGAACAGGATGCTGCAATCAGAAGACGACCTCGAGGCCCTTTGATCTGGTTGGTCTGGTTTTTAAAGAGGCAAAGCGGGCTGTTTGACTCTTAGAATCCATTCCTGAGTTACCTGGAGCGTCGCTTTGGGGGATTATTTGGTTTTCTTCAAGAGTCTAGGGAATTTAAATTCAGCAGGCCTGGGAGGTGGAAAGAGGCTCCTGGAGGTCGAGTGTGGTGGGGACATCCTGTGGCCACTGGTCCTCTGCCCCCACCCCCTCCAGACGGCCTCTCCCAGAGGCCGGTCTGGTCCTCCAGCACCGTTGGGGAGCCAGGCGCACGATGGACCCTTCTCTTTGGAGCCTCTCGGACCCTCCCTGGGGCACCGCTGCATAGAAAGGGGCCTGTCCTTGTCCCAGCTGGGGCCTGCAGGGTGGGTGACTCAGGTCCTCCTTCCAGGAGCCTCCTGCATCATGCTGGTGCGGCCCTGCCCCCAGGGTGCACACGGCCCCGGGCTGGGCACTGCGGGCTGCTGCTAGGAATCTGGAGAGCCACCCAGAGGGACTTGTTAGGGCTGCCGTCCCGTGGGGGTTGGTGAGCCCCAAGGCACCTCCACACCCCACCTAGAGTCCTGTTTCCTGTCTCCTCCTCTAGCTGCCTCCTCCTTTCCCCCCAGAACTCGGTTCCAGTCTTGCCTCCTCTGAAAAACCTGCCCGACCCCTTCTCCGTAGTGACTCTACCCTCCCACCCGGTCAGGGCAGCCGGCACCCAGGCAAGGGGCTTGCTGTGCGTGGGGGCCCTGCAGCGCTGCTGGTCTGGGGAAGCACTCGGAGGGGATTTCATTGCAAATGGGAAACACGGGGTCAAAAGTGACGATGGCAAAGCTATAAGCCGTGAACAATCATTCTGTTGAGTCAGAGCTTTACGGTTTGCAAAGACTTTGTGGAAAAGCAGTTGGAAGTTTAGGAGAGGGGGAAACTGAGGCACGGAGAGTTTAGGTGACTTTCCCAAGGCCACAAAGCCACTAAGTGATAGACCAGAGTTTGGACCCAGGCAGTCTGGCTTCAGAGTCATAAGGAATGTGTCATGACTTCCTGCATGGCCCTTTTAGCATCCTGTGATGACATGTCAATTTTATTGGTTCCTTGTATGTGACCCTCAGGGAAATACAAGCGTCGTGAGGGCAGATGGTTGTTCATGTCTGTTGTCCCCCATACTTAGAAGAGTGCCTAACACTTAGCCGTAAACATTTGCTGCAAGAATCAGTAACACTAGCAGTAGACTCTGTTTTCCCCAAGTTACAAGAGCGTTCTCGTCATTTCACAGCCGTGGCTGTAATCTTGGACCGAGAGCAGGCCCAGGCTTGAGGTTGCTGCTGGGCGGGAGGCGGGCCTGACTCTCCCGGCCTCTCACCACCTTGAGGCCAGTTCGGGCCCCCTACTGCAGGGTAACCTGCCGGGGACCTGGGGAGCTGCTTGCGGAGCACAGGCAGGGGCTCAGCGGTTACTGGGCTGAGCACTCAGTCAGATGTTTGGGACACAGAGACGGGCACAGCGGCCCCAGGACAAAGGAGGCACAGTGCTCTGGGCTCACAGACCGAGCGAAGAGCCCCGCCTGGTGTGGGATGGGGCCTGGAAGTGAAGGTTAGGGAAATGGCCCTCACTCAGAAGCCCGGCCTTAGAGCGAATGCCATTTTCCTAGGAAGGGACGTGTTTTGAGGAGGCAAACACACTTCTTTGGCAAGGCTAACATTTATACGAAATAGGACAGAAGTAGGTTTACAGTGCCCTTATGGAAAGTAATGAATAACTGATAAATAACAATATAAGAATGAACCGTTTCATGTTCTCACAGCTGTGAACCTACTTTTGCCCCACCCTGTGTGATCCTCAATATCACGTCCTTAACTCTGACAAAAACCTATTCAACTTTTGAATGTCAGCCACGGGCTGTGTCCTCAAATGCTGTCCGAAACAAAAGAATTTAAGGCAATTATCCAGATGATTCAGTTTCTCAGAATTTTCATTTAGTCTGAACTGTTCTGATAGTTGAGGTTACAAAAACAAAAAGTGTAGACAGACAGTGGGGGTTGATTTGAATTCCTAATTTTGCATCTGTGGAGAACCCAAAAGAATTTTAACTTGAGAGAGAAAAATGCAGATGTGGCTTCGTGGAACAGTTCTTTCTCTGAGTGTGTTAGTCTTTATTTAGAAGAGCGAGTACTAAGCCATTAAGAGGGGAAATTAAGACGTATTATTTCCATCCACAAAAATATCACTATTCATCCAGATGAAATAGCTCTTCAGCGGTTCGTCGGTTTAGACTGCCTTATTACAGCCCAAACTAATAAGATAGTTCAAAAGCCAACACTTGAAATAGCTTCTAATTTTTATAACGTGATCCCACTTTAAATAACATGATATTCGGGACTTTGGAAAGTCAAATTTTCATGAAAGATTAACATAGCATTTTGTGATTCCGTGACTTAGGACTCTATATAAATGCACAGAGACCATTTTCCCCGGCATGGAGTTGGGCTGTGGGTTCCGTATTACCTCGTCTGAGCGTGGAGAGGACGCGGGCGCCAAGTCGGCCGGGGCGGCGGCGGGGGAGCTCGCGGGAGGAGGGCTCGCTGGAGTGCATTCGCCTTGGTCCCTCTTCTCTTTCACCTCCTCAAGCAGCATCTCCAACCTGAACATTGCACCCTCCGCCTCTCTAAGTAAACACAAATAGGCATCTTACAGGGTGTGCAGTCAGCAGTCCAGTTAGCATCAACAATCCCCGACTCCAGCAGCGACCTGGACCACCAAAGTGGTCTGTCTGCAGAAAGAGCAATAGTGGGCCCGCCCCGACACACACACCCTGTTACAGTTTCCCTCCCAGGGCCTGGGCTCTGGTCCTTATTTTGTTACTCATTAGTTGTGTGTCCTTGGGCAAATAAATCACTGAATCTTTCTGTGCTTCCAATGTCTCAAACTAAAAGGGAGCGGCATCTACATTTTTAAAACATGGCCCCGGACAGGGATATTTATTGCAAAGGTTTGAACTCTTCTGGAACGAGTGAGTCTGTAAATTCTACACAATCCTGAACAAAATTCTGATGGAATTTTATTAAGAAATGTGGTAAGTTGGGTGAGCTGATTTATAAAGTCTTAATAAGAGAGTGCAAGAATAGCTAAAGAAAGTTTTGAAAAGAAGGAAACATTTCAAAATAGAGACTAAACTGTGGTAGTTTAACGCTGTGTGGTTGCTGTAGAAACAGACGCCTAGCTCAGTGGGAGGGACAGAGCAGGCCCAGATACCCATGGAGGTTTTTATAGGATAAAAGTGCCTTTTTCAGCCAGTGGGGAGAGGCTGGCCCATTCAGTCAGTGGTGGGACAAAGATCTAAGCATGAAAAGCCACGTTGCTAATCAAATAAAATAGAGGGAAATATGTTCTACCCTAGCGGGCAGAAGCGCAGAAGGCAGAGGTCAAGGAGAGAGACCGGAAGTGCAAAGGCAGAGAGAGGATGACCGGAGGCCCCAGGTCGTGGGAAGAGATGGGGCTGGAAGGTGAGTGAAGGAAGAAGGGGGGTGACCTGCAGTCCAAATGGCAGGTTTGGGGATGGAGAAATGGCGTTTTTGAGGGAATCTGTGATCTTTTAGGTAAAGCACAAGATGGTAATACCAGGAAGGAGGGCTCGATGGAGGGAGAAGGACCCCATTCCCTGGCTCCTTGGCTTGGGTGTTGGTGTGTGAGAGAACCGAGCCACTTCCAGACCACATTCTGACAAAGAGGGTGCGTGAAATCCAACAGCAATTTTTGCATCTTACCTTTTAAAGGCAACGATAAGAAGGTTTCAGTAAGCGCACAACAGTTGACTTCAACAAGTGATTAGCCAGTGACTTTGCAGAATTCTCTCCCCTACAGAAAGCCGTCTGCAAAGGCCTTTGGACTCAACACTTGGAAGGTTCCCGACACGCCAGCACCTCGAGGGTAGCGTGGGCTCTGCTCATTGACACGCACACCCACATGAGAACAGGAGGACCAGCCTCGCACTGAGCAGCTCTGCTTGCTCTGGGGTGGCCTCGCCGCATTTCGAGAGGCTGGGTCCTTCCCTCGCCCCCGCGCTGAAAACTTTTCCTGTGTGTGGGATGTGATCGCAGTGGAAACCCCGTTTATCCTGGGGCCAGGCTCTGCGTGGGTGGGACCGGGGTATAAATGAGGCATTGATTGCGTCGCTTTGGTCTGAGTGTACACAGAGCCCTGTCTTTAGAACTCCTGCCAATGAGTGGGGTTCCTTGGAAAATATCCTTACTCTGTTTGTTTTTCAACAAATAGAGAAAGCAGGTGGAGATCTTTTTTTTTTCCTGAAAAAAAAAAAAAAACTTTGAGAGGAAAAAAGGAGTATTAAAACCCCATCCTTGCTGTCTAATTACTCAGTATTGAAATAACAGTAGACAGAGGTTTCATTCATTTGGAAAAGTAAAATTATACTTTGGGATAAATACCGCAGGATGCGAGTGCTAAAATATAGACCATTAACCTATTTTGGCCTCCAGAATGTGTTAAAATGCTATGAATAGAAAGAGCTGAACTCACAAATGCTGAGCCCAGTAAATGGATTCTTTTCATCCGTAGCAGGAAATTACATGGGCAGAGCCCGAGCCCCGATCCTGGAATACATCACAAAGCTGTTTGGATTGGAAAGGGAGAGGGGTCGTGCGCCGTAAAAATGGCCGGCCGGACTCTTCAGCGGGAGCGTGACTCCGAGCTTCTAAAGTGGATTAACACGGGAACCCTGTGACTTGACGTTTTAATGTTTCCCCTTTGTCAGGATTTGTGGGGTCCCCACCCCAACACTCGCCAGCTGACGACAACCCTCCCCTGCCCGCGGCCCCTTTGGACTTGTCTGTGGCTGAGAAGGGAAGGGGGGGAGAGGAACAGGAGAGGAGAACCAGGCAGGAGAAGCAGGGGCAGGAGTGGCGTGAAGGGGAGGACGGAGGAGCCTGGGGAGGGGAGGCCCCCCGGGGTTCTCCTGTGTTCTTCCGGGCCTCAGAACCAGGTCCAGCGACATCCACTGAAATGCAAGATGGTGGCACAGTTGTCCCCCGGATGAGACACCTGTGCCTCCAGGGGACAAGTGTTCATCTGGGACACTCCATCTGGGTCACCACCTGGCACGGGACCTTACACACAGCAGGAATTCCTTCCTGTTTCTTGCTCGGGGCGACACCTGTTCTTGGTGGTGCGGTTTTTACTGACCCGAGACCTTTCTGGACCTTCAGTGGCTCTCCGGGCACTAGCCCAGCAGCCACTTCGGAACCCCGGCTGAAGGAGCTCTCTTCTCTGACCCCCGCCCCCCTCACAGTCGAAGCCTGACCTTTCTGGGTCCAAGTCACTGACGGCTGGGGGGTCATGCTTGCGGGCTTGCTGCTTCCAAGTCAGGTGCTTCTCCTTGTTGGCCACGAGCTCCTGCTCCAGCAATGCGAGATGTCCCTGCAGTTCCTCCAGGGCCTGTAGCGGAGAAGTCACTGGGGTCACTCACCTGGAACCCCGTGTGTGGAGTTGTTTTTCCCCCAAACCACGAAGGGTGCACCCTCCAGTAATGTCAAAACAAAGCCACTTCTCCTGGCCCTTGTGTTGCGTCAGAGGCTGACACCTAAAATACAGACAGAGCTGTCCCGACTTTCACGCCGTCCTCAGAGCACTAAGCCGGGAAGTTCAGTGTCTCCTGATTTCTCTCCCAGAGCCCCCTAGGGGCCCCTTGACCTCCTTAACAGGATGTGAATAATCCTATTTGCCCAATGACTTTTAGCCTATGTAGCACGTTCCCATTCATTATCCTGTTTAATGGATGCATCAGTGTTGTGAAGTAGATGTTATCACCCCGGTTTTATAGAGGAGGAAATGGGAGCTCCGGGAAGCACGTCCGATGCCACCCAGATCTTAAAAAGAAACTGCACTTCGGGGACCTGGGTTCGAGTTTGCGGCACTTAGAGGGCGAGACGGGGAGGGAAGGAACAGCTGGAGGCTGAGCCACGAGCTGCGAGTGGGTCTCCTGGACGGCACCGCGTCACCACACGCAGCCTCGCAGGGGAATGTGCAAGCCGCGCAGGCCACGGGCTTGTGTGAAGGGCAGGGGCTTTAGCTCTGCAGCTGCAGCCGCAGCCCTGAACAGTCCCTGAGCACGGCTGTGTCCGGCCTTGCGCGGAAAGTGTGATGGATCTAAAATTGCATCAGGCACAGTCCCTGGTCTCCGGGGCTTTATTCCAGTTGGGAAAGGAGACCGAGGATCGGAGTCCTTCGCCACAGCTCCGTGGAAGAAGGGAGACTTAAGTCAGGCTTGAGGGGTGCTCAGGAGGGCCCGGACCAAGCAGTATCCACGAAAATGGAGAGGAAAGGGAGGTTTGCAGAGAGATTCCCAAGGGCTGGAACATACCACAGCGGGGTTAAAGGATCAGACACGCCAGAGTTCAAGTTCAGACTCTGTCAGCTATTAATTGCATGACTTTAGTGAACTTGAACTCTAAACTTCAATTTTCTCATATGGTGGAGATTCAATGAGGTAATGCTCAGTGCCAGGAGCATAGCACATACTCGATAGAGGGTAGCTATCATCATCATCATCATCATTGCCAGTTCTTGTTGTTATGAAAAATAAGCTTGGAAACATACTGGCTGCCGGGCATAAAAAATGGCAAGTGTGGCAGGTGTTTTCCATTTCCCCTCCAGATGCATCCTCCGTGCCCCACCCAGGAAGCCGACCTTCCAGGGACGGCATCGACAGGAGGGAGGAGCTGGAGGTGAATGGGGTAAGGGGCCTTTGTTTCCCTGGCTTCCTCCTGCTTGTATCACCGTGGACCGGCTGTGTCTCTACCAAAAGCTGCAGAGCTTGCCAGCTGCTCCCACAGCCGCAGCTACTCTCCTTGGGCTCCAGGATCCGTTCTTCCTCTGTCCCTTCTGCTCCGCCGTCGTTTTCCCCTGCTCACTGGTTTCCCTCAACCCTGCCCGCACTGTTGTTGAACAACGCCTTCTTAAGGTCTCCCCGAGCACGCCACCGGAGCGGGCCACCTGGTTCCTGCCAGGCCTCGGCCTGGGTCTGCGGCTCTCCGGGCAGTGCTCAGGGGTCCAGCCGGGAGACGGGCAGGATGTGGAGGGCCTGACTCAGTGAGGAATTTGGGCAGGCCAACGCTTTTCAATGAAGGTGGCGACATCAACAAGCTCCACAGTGTTGGGCGAGGGAGACCTTTCCGTGGGAATGGGATACCCAAGCGAAGATACAAGCGTGCGGAGGTGTGGATGAGAATGAAGTTAGGACTGGCCATCGAGGGATCGGTAGCACAAAAGTGACATGAAGGCCTTGAGAAAGAATTAGGTGTTCAAAGCAGAGAGACAAGAGAAGCCCATCTTAAGCTAGGATCTTGGATTTTGAATCATGTTACGTCTCAGAAGAAGACAGGAGACAGCTTCCCAGCCATAAACGGTCCTCGCTGAATTCCCGTGAAACTCTGAGATGGGAAGACACGCCACCTGTCTGAGGTTGTGCCACCAGTACGTGGAACTAGATGTCTGCCCCGAAATTGGAGCGCTCTCTACTGCACTCGGTGCGCTGCCCACGGGAGGTCGGCCTTAGCTCCGCCTGGCCGCCTCCCCACGCCAGGGCACAGGGCCTGAACACCCAGACCCAGGACGGCGTGGTCCGGAGTCACCTTGCCTCTCCTCCCTGTCCCAGCAGGAATCCCCGTGTCCCTCTAACACCCGGAAGGAACGTCCTGAATCAAGGTCTCAGAAGGCTAGTGCCTCGAACCTGTTCCCTCTGCTCTGCTCGGCCCTCTAAAAGTCTGTGAAAGCTCGGGTTTTCGGAGACCCCTGCATCATTCACTCCTGCACTCCTGCGCTCCGGCTCCCACGGGCCCACCGCGTCACTGAAACAGGGCTGCCCAAGGCCCCTCGAGGCCTCGGGGTTTCCAGACTCAGTGCACATCTTGTCTTCCTTCCCTCCGCGTCCATCTGGTGGTGGGGCCCGCTCCCCACTTCTGAAAGCCCTCTTTTCTGGGCTTCTGCGGCACTGCCCCTCCCAGATCTGCCTTGACCCTCTGAGTCACTCCTCCTAGGTCTCTGTGGTGCACCCCTCTCTTTCACCTGCTCCTGGGTGCTGTTTCCCGTGACTCTAACCTTGCACGTCACCGCTTACTCTGTGCGTTGGCCTGGGCAGCCTCGCGTGCCCCATAGCTTCAACCCACACCTGCACCCAAGCCTGCCTTTCCGGCCCAGACGAGTCCCCTGAGGCCCGGATCCTTGCTCTCCTTGCCTGCTGGGCCCTTCCAGTTGGATGTCCTCCAGGGGACTCAGAGTGTCCTGCACCGAACTTGCCTCCTGCCTGCCTCCCACACCCGCTCGGAGCCGGATCCTCCACTTCTGTTCCTGACCTTCGTTGCCCCAGATAGCACTGTGAAGTTCATCCAAGCCTCCTCCCTCCCTCTGCTCCGCCCTTCCAGTCTGCCAGCCCTGCCTTCAGCTGGCGGGCGTGTCCCCTCCTCATCCTCTCGGCGGCAGCCTGGGTTCAGGGCCTCACGGCTTGTTCCCCGGGCACGGCTCCCTCACGGGTCTCTGTCCCTACAGTCTTGCCCTCGGGGTGCTCGCCATTTCTCAGCTTGACACCCTCCGGGGTCGCCCACCACTCGGCCTCAGGGCGACACCGGAGCTCCCGGGCCTGAGTCAGAGGCCTTTCCTGGTGTAGTCCTGTCTGCCCTCCTAGTCCCTCCCTCCTTCCTCACCACAGGCGCGCCCCAGGCTCCGTGGATCCTCTGGTCCACTGCAGTGACAGGCAGTTCCTCGCCTCCCAGCACTGTCTTGTCCCTGGGCCACCGTCCCTACCCATCTGCCGCTCCTGGGGGACTATCAGCCGCTTGACAAAGGAATTGTCTCATCATCTCCAAATCGCTAGTGCCTGGTATAGACCCCGGGACACAGGAGGTCCCGGATAAGTGTTTGTTGAATGAATAAGTGAGTTGTTAAATTAGCATGATGACTGAATGGATAATGAGCCGTGTCCCTAACTAACATTTGGATCCTCCTGGTTTTGGGGTGCTGCTGTCTGGCTTCTGAAGCACAGCCTGCCCCGAGCCGTGCTTGCGTCATTTCCATCAAGTCAGGACGGCTGACCTCCTGCCTCGCTGGTGCCCAGCAGCCTAAACTGCGTCTCCGACTCTCGGCCCACTCCGGCTCTGGCAGCCTCTGCTTTTAGCCCGGTTGCCAGGCTCCACCCCCCTTCCCAGGCTCCACCCCCCTTCCCACGACCCGGGCACTGATGGACAAGGTGCTACAACATAAATCAGTGATCTGGTCAAATACAGCAAGCCAGGGTGTGAAGCCCAAAGATTCTGATCTGAAACGCACAGCTTTAAGATCAATTCTAAGTTTTCAGAGTTTTATATGTTGAATTTCCAGGCACTGGCAGTTCTTGCAACCTACGTCCCGCAGGACCCATCCGCTCTTGGATGGGCTTCCTCTCCCTCTGTGATGACGGCTGCTGTGCCCCTCTCCTGAGCCTCCCCGGTCCCAGATGTGTTATGGGGCGGCGGTGAAGAAAAGCAGCCATAGGTAATAGATGCCCTGAGAAAGAGGGTGGGCTCAACATGTAGAGAAATAGAATCCTAAGCTCTTTCAGCCCCTGTAACACGAAGACCCTGACCTCAAATCATCGACGAGACCGGAGCCTCAGTGTGGGGGCAAGGTGAGGGGGGCACGGGGAAGATGGGGTTACGGGGGAGAACAGAGGAAATGGCATAAATTAGACATTAACACAATTCTGTACTAAACGGTTACCATACAACCAACTTGAAATAAGTTATTGAGGATCTTAATGCGACCCAATTTACCATTAATTACTAAGGGCGTAATACGCGTGCGACGCAAGGGCGGGCCTCTGGGGGACGCTCCGCTGCGGACAGATGGACACGGGCTGGCCGCCCCTCGTCTGCAGCGGAGTGTGCCCGCTGGAGCAGACCCGGCCCGGCGCTGTGAAGTCGACTGTGTTTGCCCCGTCAGGGTCTCCAGGAAAGGGACTTAGAACAGAATAACGGATTACCAGCCTCTGGTCCCGCACGTGACGGGGGGAGTCCCGCGCCATGCTTTTGGAGAATTCTTGCACCTGCAGCGAGAAACGGCAACATTCCATCAGCGGCGTGGCGCCGTGTGTCGGAACGTGGTCACTCCTGTGCTTCCTAACGAGCGCTAAAGGCCTTACTTTACTCTTCAGCCGGTCGGTCTGCTCCCTCAGCTTCTGGCACATCTTTTTCCCCTGGGATATCTTTTGGAAGATGTAAGAAGAGCTTGCGGGAGGGTTTTTCTGAGAGGCCGGTGTCAGCGTAAAGAGACTGGTCTCGGATTCCGTTCCTGTGTGAGAAAGAACACGTCTTGGCTGCCAGTCATCGCGAGTTCCCTGCAGAGTCGTTAGGTACAGAAAACAGGACCCGGCGGCACGCACCACCGTTTGCTATTTAAAGAGAAGAGTTTTCACAGTGGGTGTCTACGTGGAAGAGGTTTAACAACGCTCGTACCTGCGACACGCTCCTGGTGGACGTGCCTCGTGGGCTCCATCTGCGTAATTAGAGGACAAGAAAGTGTTACCGTGGGCGCTGACCAGTGACGCCAACCAGTGACGCCGTCGTCCGGAAAGACCGGCTGCATTCTGGTCGCAGTGCCGGCAGCCGGGTGATACGTCAAGGGCTGGGCCCGATGCCGAGGTCAGATTGCCCTCTGACACTCACCTCCCGGGCGACCCAGGGCAATTACCCCGTCACCGCAACCCTCAAATTCCTCAGCAGTGAATGGGGACAGTGAATGGGGAACCTGCCCGGCAGGGTTGTTACGAGGGTTGAGCGTGAAGTTCCTAACGCAGTCTCAGGCACGTGGGAGGCCCTGAGTGCGTGCCGGCTGTCACTGCTGTCCGGTGTGCTGCCACTGTGTGAGCTACACAGACATGTCTCCTGAAACTACACCAGGAGCTCCGTGAAGGCTGGCACCACGGTGGTCTCGCCACCAGGCCTGTGTCCCTCGCTGACACCAGGCTCGTGGGGGCCACACTCGAGAGAATCCTATAAAGTGGCGTGCACTAAGTTCCAACACCGGTGCCAAGACAGCGATTTCACATGGGACGGGCCCCTTGCCGCTGCCCACAGGCTGGCCGGACAGGAGTTTAACGTCCAGAGTGGTTCACCTCCAGGGGCGTCCCGTCATGCACAACCCGTAAAGCTCAGAAACACGCCAGTGCCAGGGAGCTGAGTGGTCGCGGTCACACCAGACTCGGGGGGTCATGAAGACCTCCGTTACGATGGCTGTGGAACCCCTGGAGTCCAGTTCTCCTGCCGGAACTGGAAGGGCTGGAGAAGAACCGGACACCTGACTTCAACGCCCGGTGCCGGTGGGAGAGGAGCACAATGGCCGTCCTGCTCCCGCTGACCCTGGGCATTGAGAACTGGGCGCCCCTGGGGTTCTCCTGCAGGCAGGAGGGGGAACCCTGACACTTCCCAGGGTCACGGGGGTGCAGACTGACTTCTCCATGACTTAGGTGGGCTGCGGGCTCGGGGGGAGGCATGTGCATGTGGGGGGTCTGTTCAAACTCCCCAGCAGAGCTCTGAGCTGAAAGAGAAGGGAGTGGGAGCGTGAGAAAGTGGAGAGGGAGACACAGGTGGCGTTCAGGCTGGGGTGCGGCTCACACGAGGCTGAAAAGAAAGAGCACTCAGTGCTGGCCAAGTGCCGGAAGAACAGAAATATTGACCTCTGTCATTAATGTCAGTTTCTCCGACTACTGGATCTCAAGTAATCTCTGCGACCCTGAGCCTCAGCATGCTGGGAAGTCGGGGTGGGTGGGAAGATGGGTAAAGGGGACTCAGAATAAATTGTGCACTTAGCATTGTTAACTTGGGGTGGGATGGGGGGAAGCCACAGGCCCAGGCTCTGGTGGAAGTTAGGCAACGGAGCGATGGAGATTTCGAGGCCCGTGGGAGAAGCAATCCCCAGGTTATTTGGGGTCAAAGTGGGCTCAGATAACTGCCCGACAGAACACTGAACAAAGGAGGGGGAAGTCTGTGAGGGGTGGGGTTCTGAGAAGTCCTGAGGCCCGTGGGGGTTGGAAGCAGAGACGGGGTGTCCCGCGTAAGGCAGGAGTTCGGGGTGCTCAGGGCCTTGGAGGGGGGTCAGGGTCAGCCCAGAGACTGCTGGGTGACTTCTCAGGGAGAAGGGCTCAGGTTCGAAGGGTAGGACCAAGTAAAAAAAAAAAAAAAGATGGGGGAACTCCAATCCCAGGTTGAAGAATTTGGATTTTATTCTGTGATGTGTCACCATTAGTCCAGTCCCCCATTCTTCTCATGAGGGTGCCCACTGGGCTTCTGGGAGGTCACAGTGCTGGGTCAGAACCAGAACCCGGGGCGCCTTGGAACTGGAACTCGGTTTCAGTCGCCTTCCAAAGACTCACACCGGGACAGGCGCAGGGCCCTGAGTCCGGGCGTCCTGGAGATGAGACTGTCACTCACCTCCGTCTCTCGGGGAGGGTCAGGCGCTTTCCTTCCCTGCTCCTCTTCCTCAACGCCGTTCGACCCAGACAAGCTTTCTAAAATGTCTCGCACGAGAGCTAACCTGTCTCTCAGCGTGCGAGAAAAGTGGTCTTGTGTGTCTGTTGGAAGCGGTTCATTGGTTACGTTGTGTTCGGGGATTTTCCCGGTGGGAGCGACACGGGAGAAATCGGAGAACTGGCCATGGACTCGGTCCCCCTGGCACCCAAGGCCTGACCCTGCCTTTTCAGTCTGCTGATGCCGGGGTGTCTGCCCGCGGCCACCTTCTTGTCTGTGGCTTGGACTCTTGGCTTCAGATAGAAAGTCGGAACTTTCCGCACGGCTGCCGTCTCCAGCGGCCGCTGGCTCTCCCAGCTCAGAGGCGGTTGCTTCTGCGGCGGTTGGAGAGCGGCTGGGCTTAGCGCCACTCTGGTCACCCCTCTCGTCACCCCTCTTGGGGTCGAGTTGGCCAGTGGGCTCTGGGGCCTGTTCTTCTGGCCAAGAACTCTGGACATAACGCAGAAGGACACTTTTAACAACGGCCTCGCCAGAACTGTCAGCACTGGAGACCTCTGGCAGAGTTTCGCAGTCGATGCCTTCGCCTTTTAAAAATTCCTCTTTGGAAAGGTGATGCTGTAAAATGTCGGAAATGTTGGACTTTGGAGGGTCTCCTCCAGCTGGAAGGGGAGGGCCTGTGGTGCATCGTTGCCCTTTATCGTGTTTTTCCTCGACGGTGTTTTCATGCACTCTATCCACAGCCGGGGCCGTGTCTGCATTTGTGCAAGTCTCCTTACGTGCAGCCGCTCCTTGGGCGTCCCCTGCCGCTGAGCTAACTCGATCCGAGACACCCAGAGTGTGGTTTTCCGAGGCAGGGCGGTGATCGTCGCACAGCTTAGTCTGGGGGGGGCGCCCACCGGAAGGCAGACCCTCCTGTCGCTTGCAGGTCACGTCTTCCGAGAGATCGGCTTCACCCATGGGCGTGCAGCCTGCCCCTCGTGCGCCGCGCCTGCCCCTGGTGTTCTTGACTGTGACAGTAGAGCCGGGGTTCAGGGGCCGTCTTCACCGTGTGTCCTGGTCTGCGCAGAGAGAGGAGAGCCCCGTTGTTACACACACGTTAGAGTAACGCACGGCGGCCGGCTCGTCCCGGCGTCTGTGCCAGAGCGTCTAGAGAACTCGGTTACAGGCCTGGAGGCCGAAGCGGGGCTGGGCGCCCGCCCACCGTCCGTGCTGCATGGGCATGACCGGGGTCTACAGGCGAAGGGAAAAGGAGGAGGGGTCACATTTGTATTCATTAAACCGAGGAGGATATTGGTCTCTGGTTAATGACCAAATATTTATCAGTCTCTCTTAGGAAAGGCTACTTAGCTGGAATTTATTCTCCCAAAATGGGAGCTTGGGATGCAAGTCAGGGATTGACTTTGAAAGTCCTGTGGCCTCGCTTTCCCACACATCACTGATGGGCCCCTGCGTTGGGTGAGACCGCACACTGGCTAGGCTGACCCGAAACCTCCTCCTCCCCTGTCCCCGTGTCCCGGTGCTCCCCGTCTGCCCCTGCAGTCGTCCGGCCCCTCCCTGGTCTTCCCTGGACCTCTGGGGAAGGCGGAGGAGGGCTAACCAAAGTAGGGCTAAGGACACAAGGGCCTCGGCACACCTGAGCACCTGAGGCTGGCCTGCCACCAGGTGTGGCTCTTCTGGTCGGCCCTGGGGCAGGGCAGCTGCCTCGCTCTGAGCAGCCCCCGCAGGCAGCCCGTCTGGTGGGGGCAGCACACCTGAGGGACGCTCCTGACCACGGTCAGAGCAGACCCGGCTGCCACTGGGTGTGTCCTGCTTCCTCTCCGACAGAAGGGAAGACACCCATTCACACATCTCTCCGTGACTTGTGCACTGTTGGCGTCACTCCTCCAAAGCGGCAACATCTCCCCCAGTTTCAGGCGGAGGAGCCGAGCTCCGACTCCGCCAGGCGCCCGCAGCCCCGGCCGACCGCCCTTGCCCGCAGCCCCGGCTGAGGACAGGGTGGGGAGCGGGGGTCTCTGAGGCCCCGCCCCATCTGCATTTGTATGGATCTGTGGATCGGTGATGGTTTGCTAGCCTAAAGAGCTAACAACATGATGTGTCTGACCAACAACACGGAGTTAAACTCTCCGAGGAGGGACGAGGACTGCGAACACAGCGCGGTGAAGCCGTGTGGTCAGCCTCGCACTGCAGCGCTAACTCCCTTGTGGGGGCCAGGGCAGGGAGCTCGGACCAGAAGCTGCCGTGTTTTGCTGTGTAGAATGGGCACCCCGGTTTTTGGCCCAAACTTTCAGGGGGAAAAAAATCTTTCATTTTATCTTTTAACTTGATTTTGTATTTGTTTACATTTAGATACTTTTTTGTGTTATAAAGGGTATTATTTTGCATATGGCTATCATTGTTGCTTTCTAGTCACACTCTTAACACATACGCATAAATAAAAGAATTAAAAACAATTATATAGATACGGAATTAGTATTACCCATGTGTAATGAGCACGCTTACTTTTCCCTCAAAAATTTGGGCAAAAAGCGCATATTATACATGGCAAAAATACAGTATTTTGCTTAAAGTGAGAGAGCGAGAGAGACGAGGAGGAGGAGGAGGAATCGCTGCAGGGGCACTTTAAATTATTTCCTGCAAAGTGGGAGGCACCCGCGTGCACAGCAGGGCGGGCACCCCAGCCCCAGCCGCGGCTGCGGGGCAGGGCCAGCGCTCCGCACGGCAGCAGGCAGCTCGGCGGGGGCAGGAGTGGCCAGACCCACGTTTGGATCCCCGCGTCTCCCCTCGGGAGCCGTGCGCCACCAGGCAGGCTATTTAACTTGTCCGAGTCTTCGTTCCTTCCTCCCGAGAGCGGGACTAATCGTGCCCAGGTCACAGGACTGCCGGGAGAACACGCGGTGACGGCCACGTGAAGCTCCTGGAGCAGCGCGAGGCCCGGGGCGAGCCGCGGATGAGCGGCCGCTTAGCGGCGAGAAGCAAGGCAGTCCCCGGGCTGGCACGCCGAAGAGTGCCCCCCGCGGAGGGCTGGGCACGCTCGTTCTGCAGGGGTGTTGGACGGACGGGGAGACGTGGCCCACGAGAGACCTGATCCCTGTGAGAGCCTCGAAACTACTTTTAAAGTCTACCTGTAAATGAATGTGTTGTCTAATGGTGAAAACTATCACTCAACAATTTTAAGTAAGACATCCAAAGGCCGACAGGCATACAAAGAGATGCTCAACCTCACTGATCATCAGGGAAATGCAAGTCAAAAGCGCAGTGAGATGCCGCCCCGCACCGGTGAGGCTGGCTGCCGTGGGGAGGACAGAGCACACACCGGCGAAGTGTGCAGGGAAGGGAACCCTTGTGCGCTGTGGCGGGGATGCAGACTGGCGCAGCCACCATGGGAGACAGGACGGAGGCTCCTCAAAAAATTAAAAATGTATCTGCTATTTAATCCAGCAATTCTGCCTCTGGGTATGCACCCAAAGGAAGTGGAAATAGGACAGCAAAGCACCGTCTGCACTCCCGAGTTTGCTCACGTCATCCACGGTGGCCAAGAGACAGAGAAAACCTAAGTGTCCATCAATGGAGGACTGCAGAGCAAAGATGCAACATGGATCTATACAATGAAACAGTACCAGTCACGAGAATGGGGGACATCCTGCCATTTGCGAGCGCGTGGACGGACCTCGAGGGCGCCATGCCACTGAAACAAGTCGGAGAAGGATGAGCACTGTCTGGTACCACTTCCATGTGGGATCTAAAAAAGCCCGGGGCCTGGGGTCGGGGAGCGGGGCAGAGCTGATGTAAGTTAAGGGCCCGGAACTTACCAGAAACAGTACCTAAGCCCCGGAGATCTAATGCACAGTCAGTGAACGTAGACAGCTGTGTTAGAGTCTAACTGGCTAAGAGACCAGAACTTAATTATTCCACCCACTAAAAAGAAGTGATAATTATGTACCTGGATAGACATGCTAATTATCACTAGAATGGCAATCATTGCAACATATGAATGTATCAAATTAACGTTCTACACTTTAAAATTACAGAATGTTACCTCTCAAATACATTTCAATGGTTTTTTTTTTTAATTGTCTAAGTTTCAAGGGGAAAAAGAGTATCTTTAAATGCCTGTAAAGAAAAGAGAACGGATCCTAGTTTTGCAGAACTTGGGGTGACGCCAGCGACAGCCCCAAACTCATCCTCACGCCTCCTTTGTGTCTCGAGGTGCTAATGGCAGAGCCCCAAGCCCTTCTAACCAGGAAGAGAAGGCTCTTCACCAGCCAGGTCCTAGCTCCCAAAATAGCATTCCAATCAAGCTGATAACATTTAATTTCTGCCAGGATTCTTAAGAAGAAGAAAGAAGAGAGACCAGCAAGATAAACCATAAGCCAGAGGAGCCCTCTCTTTACACATAAGAAAACAACTTCTGTTGTCATTATCGTTATTTTCTTTTTGTTTGTGAGCAACACATCCAAAGGTTTTTTTCCGGTAAAGGACAATCTATGTTCTTAGCATCGCAAAGGAGCCCTTACAGGTAGCTGGAAGGAACCGGGCAGGCTTCCCGCAGAGACACCAGGCTCCATCTTGGATCATCCAAGGAGATTCCGGTCAGAGCCCAGCAAAGCTCAGCTTGACTTACTGAGTCAGGTGACACACTTGGGGCCACGGCTGCTTAGGCGGCCCCACTGGCCATTATGTGCTCAGCAATAGCTCACAGGTGACCCCGAGCGTGAACCCGGAGCACAGGAGGCCAGCACATTCCAGGGGACGGCCGCAGTCCGGTCCCCGACAGGAACACACAGCAGGCTGCTCACGCTGGGGTTCGCTTTGGTACAAGTCAGACTCTGGTGCCGACGGGCTGACTTAAGCTCGCTCATTTGCCAGTTTGAGAGGAGACGACCTCCGTGGCTGGGGTGACTGGGTACCTGATGGACTCCATTAAGAATGTCTGTAGGCGGAAAATCCCAAAGTCCTTCGTGCTTAGAGGCCAAAGATGGTCAGCGAATCGTGGTCTGTGGCTGGTAGGTGATGTCTGTTCTGTTCACTACGCCCACTTAATGGTGGCACAAACGTTACACTTCGGATGACCCTGGCCACCATGTGCCCCAGCCCCTGTGTTCTGTGTTCTGCCGGCCTCCAGCTGGGAGTAAATGACCCACAGAAGGGGGAGAGCAGGGCATCATGTCTACTCGTCCTCCCCGGCCTCCCTCCACCAAAGTACCAGCCACCCCACACTCTCAGGTGCCGACCCCCACCCCCTTCTGGCATCGGCCCCGCGGACTCGAATGAAAACCGGAGTTGACTTGGGGAGGCCATGCTTCCACAGTCCACGTTCTTCTTACTGCCGTTCACCTGTGTCCTTAAGAACGTGAACAGACTTCGGAGCAGGGACCCCATGACACCTTGTCCGCAGAAGGCAGCAAGCTGCCGGAAGTCTCTCCCGGCACACCCCGTGGTCAGCACAGACGGCTGAAACCACCGTGGCGGCGATGGCAGCGGCAGCAACTCACCTGCCTCCTGGAGTCTCTGGATGTCAGGGACGAGCCGGTCCACGGGCCTTATAGCACAGACGGGCAGTCCGCTCATTCAGAGCCATCCTTCCTTTGTTCAGCAGGGGAACGCTGGCTGCGGTCGAACAACAGAACACAGACTAAGCTTCCAAACCCTGGTGGGCCTGCTTCCCCAGGCTTCCTTCAGCTGCAAGAAGTCAGCTTTGAAGATTGTGTGGGGAACTTCTGATGGGCTCCAAATGTCATTTTTTTGGGGGGGGGGGGCTTATCTTATAAGAGCATTCAAAAATATTTAGTTTCGCTCTTTTAATTTTCAAATTCTCTCCCTGTATTTTTAGCTCAAGATTTCTATTTGCCCATGAAAGCAAATAGGAAATGTCTCAGAACAGTGGGCGCGGGCCCACCCCCAGAGGTCAGGTGCTCGTGGGCTTTGTGGCCGGCGGGTGGTGTGTCTCGATTAAAATA